ATCTGCATTTTGATGATGGCAAACACACACAAAAAAGTTTGCACACAGTCTGCTGAACTGCCAGTGCAAATTACTTTGCCCCTTATCTGAAGCTCTGCTCTGCACCTACAAACACATTTGCAGCTGTTTTAACACACACAGACCTTCTGAAGATTAGGACTTACTGTATATGTATAAAACACTCTTGAGGAGAGTTAGGATTATTCCAGAATAACTCACGCATATAAAAAAAAAAAAAGAATAAAAGAATATTGATAAAGAAAACATAAAATAATCCCCCATAATAAAGCATTTTAAGAAACATTTTAAGAGCTTATCATTACATCCCTAATTTAATGAAATGATTACATATATCTATGCTATTTAGGATTCCTAAATAGCATAGATATATGTAATCATTTCATTTCATTGAATGCCTTTCCATTAAAAGTGTTGGCCTTTAGGTTTGGAGCATAAATAAAGGAATAAACATTTTTTTGTAATAGCCTAAACAAATTTCTGACAAAAGTCAAACTGGCCCCACAGAAGGTGTCTATTTATTATGCAGTTTCACTTCTGTCTTAAAAGGTTGTGATCATGGAAACCGACATGCATCACTAATGAACCATGCCAACAGACAGGTTTCATGGCTAAAGATAAAAGTTTCACACTTGGTGGCCTCACGGGTTACCTGGTTCCTCCACTGGTCTATATGGAGTAACATTTTGTAGTTTTAGAATAACTAAATAAATTATCAGAGATGAAAATAATTTTTTGCAACACTGTGACTTTTTTTAAGTAATTCACTTGTTTTACATGTTTTTCCTACCAGACATTCTAACATAAAACAGTAGTATCCATTCAACATTTTCCCACTTCCCTTAATGGGCCCTTAGCTGGTCCTTGGCTGGTCCCCTACAATTAAAATATTATTTCTGCAATGATTTGTGGACATTAAGTTCAAAAGAGAAGCACCATCTCCTGGTCGGGAGCCTGTAATTCAGTAAAAGGGTGGAGCCAGAGTCAAATAATATGCACGCCCAGGAGAAACTACAGAGTGTCATAATTATGACAATGTCATGTTGCTACACAGGTTCAATAGTTGCATCAGGTGATCAGGTGCAGTACGTTACATTATCCTGTTTTATATTGTTCTGTGTTGGAATCCTTGCGGCTCAATAAGAAACTGGTATTATTCTAGCCATTTATATGTGACTAGAGGAAAAACAACAAAGATCATCCTTAACAAATCAGTTGAAATAAACAGTAAATATATGACTGAAGGATGAGTACAGTTGCAAACTGGTATGAATCTGTGAAAAATACAGAAAAAGTGGTCAGGCAAATGTGGACTTTAAAAGTGTAGAAAAATTACAGAATATGTGACAGAGTTTGAAATAAACCAAATACTGTACTGCATATCTGCAAATATAAATACTTTGCTCTCATCAGAAGAATAAATAACCAATATATAGCTGAGAAAATTTTTACAGTGGTGGATACGAGAAAATAGCAGCGACACCAGAAATGTGCAAAACAACAGCAGCATGTCATTTAAGTGAGTAGGAGAGAAACTGCATAAATCAGCACAAATTCAACAACTTATTGATATTGTTGGGCACAGTGATGGTTGTAAAGTCTGACAGCTGCTGGGAAGAAGGATTAGTTTTATAGGATTTATAAAACATAATATATATATATATACAGTATATAAGCAACTTATTTTAAACTGTTTGAATGTTTTCATTGTTTAGGTTATTATCATTAGACTGAAAAATATACATGAATAAATGCAATACTAGATTATTGATGAAAAGCCAAACTAGTTACACATTGTCCCTTAAATGAGACCGTGATGAGTGGAAAACAAATGTGCAGGCATGAAAAAAATTAGGGCCCAATAAATACTGAAGGTTTAATTAACTTGTATGACATGTCAATGAGGGAGTATAAGGATTTCCAAAGAACAAAAAATACATGAGATAAACCTTAGGTAAAGATAAGGCATTGTGTCAAACTAAGCTGAAGCATCTGGGTGTCAGATTTATGAAGGCAAGCAGGAAGACGAGGGGGAAGAGTGAAGATGGGGGAAATTAAGGTGTGCCCCCTGTTTATGCAATGCTGTCTTTACTGGAGAGCTTTAATAAAAACCATAAGACTGACATAAATGTCCTTGCTGAAATAATTAAATTATTTTTAATCAACAGTTATTATAAATATCTATCTTAAAATCAAAAAGCTATCCAAAAGTAAGCATGTATGCTATAAAATTGACTTTATTTTGTTTTTAATTTTCCAATTAAATGTTTTAAAGCATCTTGTATTGCATTTTTTTTATTATCTAAAAGAAATCTACAATGTGAACATTATGTTCAGGGCTTCATCAGACATTCGAGTGGCATGACATTACCTTCATCTACCATCCCCAGTGAGCTTTCCCCCCAGTGATTCTTCTCCATTTCCAATGAAGATGAAAAGAAATAATAGAAAGGCTAAAAGCTACAGACCAGTGTTGACCCAAATTAGCCTATAACATGTTTGCCCTCTAAAATGACATATTTTGAAGTTTACCCTCAGAACTGAGGTCTATGGCACAATCCCACGCACACAAGCAAATATTTAACATTGAGCAAGAAAATTTGAGGCAACAAAAATAACAGACCTTCCAGCCTTTGTACCTTTGTACCTTTTTTCAAAATAAATCCCAAAAGAAAAAAATAAACTTTCATGATAGCCTTGCTAGTAAAGCTACTTTAACATTTATACATCTGTGCTGTTAAAATTTATTTATATTGGTTGAGCATAGAGCGACCAGATGTCCCCATTTGTGAGGGACAGTCCAGCATTTTCCACTCCTGTCCCACCAACCTTGTCCTGCATTTGAGTGGGTCATATTATTTTAAAACATTTAAGTAAATTTAGGGTGGATTTTCCTAAATGCAAAGAAAGCAGAGCTGCAGTCATTGTCACAAAGTTATGCCAGTGAGACATGTGATGACCAAGCTGCATGGTGCTCTTAAAACTGAACAAGCAAATATGGTGGGGACTGTGTTTAAAGGAAAAAACAGCCAAAAAAGACTGCAAAGCAGATTATAACTGGGTGAGGCAAGTGGCTCCTTAAAAAACTCAGAGAGCTTTTTGTTAAGTTTTTTTTTATTTATTATTAAAGATGATACAAGGATGAAACATGGGTTTTGTTAGATCTGGTCACTGTAAGCGGTTGTGTCATGATCTGCTGATAGCTGGCCTTAATTGCTAATATCATTCACCTGCTGTTCCCGCCCGGCTGTCTAATTACTTCTCATCTCATCCAACTGCAGTCGAGGCTTTATATTCTGCCCAGCCCAGCTATAGAGGTCAGATCATTATTTTGTTTTGTCTGTTTTCTGTTAGTCAGTTTTCTGTCATAAAATGGGTGAGATGGACCCAGTATTCAAGGTGAGACAATCAGTAGGAAAATTCAAAACATTTATTAACATAAAACACTTCTAAGTTATTTTTAATAACTTATAAGCCTCATTGTTTAGAGCAAAGACAAATTCCCTGTCAGGATTTGGTTGAGGTTTGTGGACCCAAATGCTGAGGCAGAGGTGAGTTTCTTGATGATTTAATGATGAATAAACAAACAACTGAACAC